AGAGCGTGTTGCAATTTCCTCTTTGATCTATGTCTCTGTGGTGAAAATGGAGGGGAAAATCGGGAGGGAAGTCGAGAGGAAAGCGGATATGGTAATTACTACTGTATATATTTTTATAATTACTACTAGTAGTATAATGTTTGTGTTATTGTTATTATTAGTAGTAGTAGTATGGTCATTATTAGCATCATTATTATTAATATTAATGTAATTAATATCATCTTTCATGCGGTGCGATGATTTGGTTAGAAAGGGGAAGAAGAGTGTATATAAAAAAAAAAAGAGGGGAAACTATCTTGTTATAAAGAGAGAAAGAGAAGAAACAGCAGAGCCTAAAATTATGATGTAGGATGTAGACATGATATTAAAAAATCGACTATTTGAATTAATATTTCGAAAATATAACAAAAAAAACGTGAAATTCAACAAAAAATAAAGAAACAAAGTGGAAACAAAATCCCAGTGTAAGGAGACATAGACGAAAACAAACTTTAAATTGACAAATAACATGATTTTTCGCCATCTTGGTCTTAATTGCAAAGATCATCATGCAATAAAATTGAAAGGAAATCAACCATCCATGATCATTATGATGAATGTAATGATCATAATGACGAAGAAGAGGAAGAAATATTAGATAAAAGAAGCTTAAAGAAGTTATATTTTTCTCTCGTTATTTTCTTATTATGAATACGAGACGAGAAAAATCATGTTAAGAAATACAAGGAAATCTATAGTATTGATTTTTTGTATGTATGTATTTATAGATGCCATTATTAATTAATTGGTGATAATAACAATGACGTGGAGGAGAATAATGGTTATATTGATGATGATAATGATGATAATATTGATTTGATAATATTAATAACAGAAATGACGATAAGAGAAATGAGAGAAGCAGAGGAAGAAAAATAATAATGATAATGATAATAATGAAGATAGTGATGACGATAAGTGAAATAAGAGAAGAGAAAGAAGAATAGTAAGAGTAATGATAATAATGAAGATAATGGTGATAATGAATAAACTGATAATGATTGTGCTGATAATTAATTAAAGAACGAAAAGGAAGTTGATAGATAGATGAATAGAGAAAGAGACAACGAGGAAAATGATTGAAGAGAATAAAGAACAAAGGAATAAAGAAAGACGGTAATAACTGATAACAATAGATTAATACGTAGCATAGCACGGGGTAAAAGAAAACAAAAGATCCATTTTCGATAAAATCAGACAACCTTCTGAACAAAAAATAAATAGATAAATAAGTAAATAAATAAATAAATAAATAAGCAGTAATGAAACAAAAAATATGTTAGAAAAAAAATACACGGAATTAAACCTTCGTATTCCCGTGAGTTGTTCCTGGAAGCAAATATAATCAAGTTTTCTTTACCTTTGCCCCTTTTCTATTGCTGCTGCAGATGCTTTAGTTAAAAAAGAAAAAAGAAAAAAAAAATAGTGTAAACTTAATCCATTATTTGCTTACAAATCAGCGTCAGAGAATTCCTTTGAAAAGAGTAATTTGAAAATTAGGACAATGGAAGCTGTAGGATAGGAACCCTGGGCGTTTATTCTCTCTCTCTCTATCTACATATTTAGCTATCTATCTCTATCTATCTATCTATTTATCAGTCTATTTATCTATCTATCTATATATATATATGTATATATATATATATATATATATATATATATATATATATATATATATATATATATATATTATATATATATATATATATATATATATCCTCTCTTTCTTTCTCTTCATCTTTTTTTCTTTAGTTTTCTCTTATTCTTTATTTCTCTCTCTCTCTCTCTCTCTCTCTCTCTCTCTCTCTCTCTCTCTCTCTCTCTCTCTCTCTCTCTCTCTCTCTCTCTCTCTCTCTCTCTCTCTCTCTCTCTCTCTCTCTCTCTCTCATTCTCTCTCTTCTCTCTCTCTCTCTCTCTCTCTCTCTCTCTCTCTCTCTCTCTCTCTCTCTCTCTCTCTCTCTCTCTCTCTCTCTCTCTCTCTCTCTCTCTCTCTCTCTCTCTCTCTCATCTCTCTCTCTCTCTCTCTCTCTCTCTCTCTCTCTCTCTCTCTCTCTCTCTCTCTCTCTCTCTCTCTCTCTCTCTCTCTCTCTCTCTCTCTCTCTCTCTCTCTCTGAGGGACTGATGGTTCGAATAACATTCAAAGATTAATGAGCCTGAACCTGTATTGAAAATAACGAACGAAATTAATCTTGAAAAGGACATTTCTCAAAGCTAAGAGAAGGAAATACTTTGTGAAACTTTCCCAAGGTACGAACGGTACGATTTCCCCCTCCTCCCTCCCCTTCCCCCCCCCCCCCTCTCTCTCTCTCTCTCTCTCTCTCCCTCTCGTCTCTCTCTCTCTCCTCTCCTCTCTCTCTCCTCTCTCTCTCTCTCATCTCTCTCTCTCTCTCTCTCTCTCCTCTCTCTCTCTCTCTCTCTCTCTCTCTCTCTCCTCTCTCTCTCTCTCTCTCTCTCTCTCATCTCTCTCTCTCTCACTCCTCTCTCTCTCTCTCTCTCTCTCTCTCTCTCTCTCTCTCCATCTCTCTCTCTCTCCTCTCTCTCTCTCTCTCCTCTCTC